AGCTGCTCTGACCCCCACGCGTCAGCTGCAGCGCCAAAACCCTAAACCCTAAACACTAAACCCTAAACCCTAGCTCGCCATGCTGCACCCACTCGCAAAATGCAGCTGGGCCTAGCTGCGCTTCAGGGAATCAGGGTTTAGGGCTTAGGGTTTAAGACCACGCAGGGTTTACACTGCGAAGTCCGCCTTCAAACTCCACCAGTGCTTAGGGCTTAGGGTTTAGGGTTTGGAGTTTACTAGGGTTTAGGGCTTAGGGTTTAGGGTTTGGGGTTTACTCTCAATGTGCAGATGAGGCTGCAGCTGACGGACCATGGCCACCGCCCCTGGGCTTGTGTCGCAGAACATGATGCGCTGCAGCAAAACCCTAAACCCTAAACCCTAAACCCTAGACCCTTGACCGCAAACCCTAGCTGCAAACGCTAAACACTGCAAATCAAGGAAGCCACGTCCTGCACTGCTTCAGCAAAAGTTGTCCACGCGCTGCTATAACAGCCAAACCCTAAACCCTAAACCCTAAACCCTAAACCCTAAACCCTACGTGCTCCTTAAGCCCTCTGTCCAAGGCGCCACATTCGTTAAGCGCCTCCCTGATGGCACCTTCTTCTGCGTCATCGGCGACCTGAGAAGAAACCCCGAACCCTAAACCCTAAACCCTAAATCCTAAATCCTAAACCCTAAACCCTCAATCCTAGCCTACCTGGGTTACTGTGTAGACGGCGAAGGTCTCGCATAGCTTCAAGAAAGCCTCAACTTCAGAGGCGCGCACTTTCAGGTCACTCGGGTTTAAGAGAGTCTGCGCCCACAAACCCTAAACCCTAAACCCTAAACCCTAAACCCTAGATGGGTCCCTGACACGACGAAAACGCCAAACCGTAAACTCTAAAGAAGAAGAGAGGTTTGCCTTACGCCTTTCAGGTTTAAAGAGACGATGTTCTTTTGCCTAGATCGTACAACGCACATAAAAGCAAAACCCCAAACCCTAAACCCTAAACCCTAAACACTAAACCCTAAACCCTGACTGCATCTTATTCGATACCACACATCTGGCGGCGCCGCTACACGGGGCCGTTTACCCAGCCTCTTGGTAATGCAGCTCCAACTCTTAGGGTTTAGGGTTTAGGACGAGGGATTAGGGCTTAGGGTTTAGGGTTTAGGGTTTAGGGTTTACTTCTTGGGGGGAGTTTGCGGACGCCGCTCCGGAATCGGCAGATAATAGTAATGGACAAAACACCACAAGAGGGTTAAGAGGAAAATGGCGAGGCCCCAGAAGCCCCCCTCAAACATCCTGTAAACCCTAAACCCTAAACCCTAAACCCTAAATCCTAGCTCCCGAGGAACCAGCTAGCAAGCAGAAGCCACTGCAGCAAGGGATGTCGCGAGCAAAGGGCGGAGATTGAAGGCCTAGAGCTCGGGTTTAGGGTTTAGGGTTTAGGGTTTAGGGTTTAGGGTTTAGGGTTTAGGGTTTGG